ATCTGTGGATGTTTTTAACAGGATTTTGTTGGGTTTTTTTGTTCAAATGAGCTTCTTCTAGCTGAAGTAGTCCATCTACTGAGTCTTAGCTACTGCTGCTGCCATGATGAGGTTTTCAATTCACTCTGCTGTGAGAAGCTGCAATAAAAGTACAGAACATATACTATATTTTATTTATAAAATCCCCCTGTTATCATTAACCAACTAACTTATTTACAGGACTTGTAAATGTGCGTCTCTCTCTTTTGGGTCTGTTCGAAACACAGGCAACAATAGTATCCAATACAAATTATATATTTCTAACCTCTGTGTGAATCTTCTTTATTTTATTTTTTTTACAAACTTTTCCAGACAACTTCTGGAAGTAAATATTTAACACTGCAAGACAGATACAGTAGGTAGGGGGATTATAAAAAAAATAGAATGCTGAGCTGGTAGTAAAACTAAAGAGGCATGCTAATGGACCATCTATTGTTAAATTAATCTTAAAATAAAACTATTTTTGATCAGATTTGAGAACAGATTTCACAAAAGGTGAAGCCAAGCATGTAGTATACTCTATGTTTTTCCAAACAGAGAGTCATTGTAATGTTGTGGCACGTAGTACAAAACTAACAGGAAGTGGATACATTAGAATCAGTTTCAGCAGCTATGTCGGTAAATTCAGCCACTGATTGATTAGTGCAACAGTCCATTAGCTGTAATAGTTCAACAAGAATTGTATCTATGAAGACACAGTGTTTGTATTGGAAACGCACACCAGGTTTAGCAGTAGTCAAAAAGTTGTTTTTTTACGACATTTTTCACATACAAACTACAGCGCTGTGAGGAGCCAGCTAAAATAAGAAATGAAAATCTGTCTGTGCATTGCTGCCATACCTCAGGGAAGGTGACTCATATGCACACATACACATAAACAGACGTGGACAAAGGCTGAGCTGGGAGGTTTCTAGAATCAAGCAGAAGAGAGAAGGGGAAAAAAACTTTAAAAAGTGAATAGCAAAATATGAGCTAGTACAGCAGCATGGGACCCAGCCAGCATCATAACATCAGCATGCAAACACCTCGGTAATGAAGCGGCAGCAGTGCTGGGCTCTAACCACACAGACCAATCCATCTTTCCCATGCATTATTCACCACGCACAGCCATTTTAACACCCTGCGCTCCTCGGCAAAGATTGGTTCCACTTTTTTATTTATCTGTTTTTCATCCCCTCCCTCCCTGCTTCCTTTTCCACGGCTTTTCAATTAAATTAAAGGCAAGTGCGACACTAAATCCATGCAGCAGTGGCTGCTCACGAGACAATTAGACTGTCAACCTGATAGGGGAAGAAAGAGAGGGGAGGAGAGACTGTGGACACAGAGCGGGTAAGATGGCTGCGTTGGAATTCTAATTCATGGTAACGAGGGAAATGAGTTGTAAAGTATGAAGGAGGTATGGTAATGTAACGTAATGTATCATTATTTAAATTAGTTCACCAGTATCGCAGTACAAAGTCCAAGTCCAAGTCTTGTAGTTAACCACGGTTGCTGTATTTTGGATGTGTGTGTGTTTTGCATGTACTGAACTATGATCCATTCTATACATTCTTTACAATTATAAAGCAGTAATACTGCAGGACAACTCTTTTATATGATAAATATTTGGTAATATATTGTTCTTAACTTATATTTCATTAACTTAATACTTAATAAATAATGTGATGAAAATAAAGATCGATTTCATTAACTTAATACTTAATAAATACTTGGGACGTGAGTACAATTACCAACAATAATGTGATAAAAATAAAGATCATTCATGAGTCCTAAACCTCTTGTCCTTGTCCAGGTCGCATGTCTTGTGTGTGCAGGTCTGAAGTCTGAAGTCAAGGACATTTTAGGAACCCCAGTCATAAGAAAAAGCCTCACATGATTACTTCACAGTTACAGAGACTTACTGCTGGACAAGGACTATTTTGTGCTGCTGCCTAATAAAAGAAAAACAAGTTTGTACCTTTTCAGGAACAAACAGATTTACAAAGGTTAACGTTCTCTGAAGGTTCCTGTTATGATGTTATGAATGTGGCACTGGACTCCTGAGAGTAACTTGTGTTTTTCTGTAACAAACTAAACAAGATGTTGTTGCACAGGCAGTGTCAAACTGCTTTGCTTTTATATTTGATTTGATTACATTCATTTCAAGTTGAAATGTACAAGAAATATCCTAACTGCTGCAGTGTGGAGGGAATACTGCTGTCAGAAAGCACAAGGGTTTGTTTAATGTGTGCAAAACAACAACTGTATTTGTTCATATAGTACACTGAAATAGTGTAAGTGCAAAATACAATACTTATGAACTAATAATGTGATTGCAAATATTGTCGTTAATTAACAGTGACGTATAGGTAATTCAGTAGGGCAAAGACTATGTGAGAGTTTGAAAAGGCAATATAAATAACACTACCATGAAGGTTTTCTATCACCAGAAGGACAAAGTTATGACATTTATGGCCGACAAACAAAGACTCTTCTGTGGTAACTATTTTCACATGACCATGACTGACAACAAAACAAATTCCATGACTTTCCCGTTTCCTTGGCAACAACTGATGTCCATGTATGTTTCTGGCACCTTGGTTAAAAAGCCTGTGTTGTGTTTTTTTTGTTTTTGTTTTGTTTTTTTCTAATGTTGAGACTGCAAGGTTTTAGAGAGAGACGATCGGGAGTCAGCAGTTATTTCAGGGAAACCACTGTTCCCAAAATGAGCAGACACAGAACCCAATCCAAGCAATTAAGGAGAAGGTCATGGTGGATAGATAGTCTCCCATTTCATGGAGGAGGAGAGGCTCACACACAGACTGAGGTCCACACACACACTCTCTCTCTCTCTCTCTCTGTGTGTCTCACACACACACACACATTTATACAATGTGAGACACATGGACTGGCAGAGATTAAGGAGCAATATTTACTGTATAATTTTGTGAGCTTGGTACACATAAGTAACACTCACAGCACCATGACAGGGCACCATCCAGGGGACACACTGGAGTTTATTGGTACGCACACTCAATGCATGTACACATCAAGCACATGGTGTTTTAACATTTGAAAACCAGTGTCCTTTGTCAAAGCCTGGTTAAATCATGACAGTCCAGCAAAGGGTCTTTTAATGAGAAATAAATGGTGTCACTGGAGCACTGAGGGAGACCCTGCTGTGTGCTGTGACATCACTTCACAACGATTTGAGGGAGTTGAAGGACCGTATAAAAAAGTCGTAGGGGTCCTAATTTGATGGGCTTTCTTTTTCGGTGCGACTTGCTGATAAAAAATAAAAACTAAAGGCATGTGCTGACCGGCAGGTCACTGGTCAGGTCCAATCAAACTGACAGTTATTCAGTTATGAACACTGACTTGTTGAACAGTTCATCTCTAGAACATAAGGCTTTAAGAAAGTCAAATACCAAGACATTTTACATCAGAAACAGAATAATATTTGAGGAAGTGACTAGTACTATTTTAATCTCTAAGATCTTCTCTAAATATTTATTATGTACTTTTCCATCTATAGAAATATTTATTATGCATTAAAGTTACTTAGCCACAGCTTTAAGCAGCAGCAGATGCTAATAAATACACCAAAATAATTAGTTTCTGTGCAGACTTATTTAGCTTTACACACTTGTGAAGCTTCCATCTCCAAAATGCTCTTTTATTGTGGAAGTGGGTCTGCAAGAATTACCATATGATAATACACAGACACGATGCAGACAGTGGGAGGACGAAAATGGAGTAATTTGGAATGTAGAAGAAATAAGGGAATGAGAGTCATTGAGAAAAGAGAAGATTGGCGAGAGGAGAGAGGAGAAAATGAGAGAGGGAAAGTAGGAAAGACATACACAGCTGAGCAAGAACACAGAAAAGTCATAACCCAGATTCAATTAGCGTCTGATTGCTGTTCTACAGTTGTAATATTATACATCTGAGAGCAGTTTCATATTTCAAACAAAGGCCAGGCGTCAGCCTCAGTGATGATCCTTCCCACATACAGCCTTACATACAGAGACAGTCAGACAACTGATAAATGGGCTGCATTTAAATCACACTTTTCTTTCCTCACAGTCAGACAACTGATAAATGGGCTGCGTTTAAATCACACTTTTCTTTCCTCGGTGACACTCAAAGTGCTTCTCACTACAGTTTTCCCATTTATCTTTTCACATACCTCCAGCTCATACATTTAAACAACATAGTTAAAGCGTATGAAGTACTATCACATACTTTTCATTCAGCACGGCTGCTAGACGCCAGGTGTTGCCCAGGGACACATCGGCATGTAGAATCTACAGTTACTTCTGCAGCAGCTATCATGTAAAGAATAGCTATTTATGACATCAGACACAGCGGCCTGGAAGAGGACAGCAGACACGGCTG